CTTCAGGGAAGCCTACCTCACCCCCTGCTAACTTGCCGACCTCCTCCACTCTTCCTACCACTCCATCCCCCACAGCTATCTCCTCCTGTACCACTATCCCGTCCCTTCTAGATTGTAAGCTCGAAAGAGCAGGGCCCTCGATCCCCTCATGTTTTGCATTGTATTGGTATTGTTCTGTCACATGTTCTGTCCCCCTTTGTAATGTACAGCGCTGAGTGAACTATTGGCGCTTTATAAATACTAATATAATAATATAATAATAATACTACATTTTCATATTAATAAATCACAGTCGTGACACAGGACTCTTATACTAAATCAAACAAAATACATGGGGAATAATTTACTAAGACTAAAGCGGACAGAATCTAGAGCAGCTGTGCATAGTAACCAATCAGCTTCTATCTTCAGCTTGTTTAGTTAAGTTTTGAAAATGAAAGATAGAAGTCAATTGGTTGCTATGCACAACTGCTGAGGTTTAATAAAGTCTCCTCATAGAGGGGAATTTACTAAAACTGGAGCAGACAGAATCAGTAGCAACTGTGCATGGCAACCAATCAGTTCCATCGTTGGTGTCAGTGGGAGGAACAGTGCCCATATGCTGGTGGCAGTGGGAGGAATAGTGCCCCATGGTTGGTGTCAGTGGGAGGAACAGTGCCCTATTGTTGGTGTCAGTGTGAGGAATAGAGCCCCATCATTAGTGTCAGTGGGAGGAATAGTGCTCCCTCGCTGGTGTCAGTGGGAGGAATAGTTCCCCATCATTGTTGTCAGTGGGAGAAATAGTTCCCCATCATTGTTGTCAGTGAGAGGAATAGTTCCCCATCATTGTTGTCAGTGGGAGGAATAGTGCCCCATCATTGGTGTCAGTGGGAGGAATAGTGCCCCATTGTTGGTGTTAGTGGGAGGAATACTGCCCCATCATTGTTGTCAGTGGGAGGAATAGTTCCCCATCATTGTTGTCAGTGGGAGGAATAGTGCTCCATTGTTGGTGTCAGTGGGAGGAATAGTGCCCTAAGGGTCGGACAAAAGCAAGCAAAGGGCTGCATTTATAGACCACTGCTATAGGCTATTGCTTACTGTTATTTTTGGCACTGTGCTGTTAAATAAATTCATGTTAGTAAATTATATTCACAATTTTATATTCACATTTTTACTTCTGCAGTACAGTAAAACATATTAGCTACTAAACAATTATTAGTTCACACATAAAAAAGAAAGTTGACAGTACACATGACTACCCAGAATGCTTATCTGATGATATGATGGTGTTTTTCAGCCTGTAGTAAATTGTCCTCTAGTCACAGTGCACCAACACACAAGAGAAGCCCACCATTTGTATTCTAAATCTACATCCACAGAAACTCAGTCAATTATTTCACTAAAAATACTTTAGTTTTCCACTAATTCTAGCTGATGGAATACATTCACACAGATAGAGGTTCAGGCCACAGAATGACGACCCCTATTGTGCATATTCAGAATTCCATTATGTAATGTGGCTGCTGACAACCTGGTTTAAATGACTGCTTTAAAATGCAGCGTGAAGAAATTCCTGCTGACTACAATAAAAGTGCTAATATATAATACATCATACCGAAGGATCCAGTTATACCATCTTAACCCTGATCTTCCAGTGTAGTAGGCAGAGATCAGATATCCATCTAAGAGTTGGATGTCTTCGTTCAGTGAATCACTCTGATATGTCTGGTGTGAATGCTCCAGTTGTACACCCACTTCGAAAACTTTAGATATGCCCATCTCTACAGCACAAACAGCACTGTAAAATACCTATTATCACTTTTATCTCACTCATTTTTTTGTTGAACCCTTAGCACATTTTATGTTCTAAAATATTCATGAAAGTAATGTGACTAAAATCTATAACCTACTTCTTTCACTTATTGTATGTATATAAAAACAGAGCTGCAAATATACTCAGGAGTCTATAAGGCCCCTCCTCATGGAGCGATTACCTGCAAATGACGCGGGCGCTGTATGTCTCCCAATGCTTTCAATGGGGCTGCTGCCGCAGCTGATCACCAGGATCTCCTGCTGGGTCTCCCGCATGTAATCGCTAATGGCCCGATTTGCAAATTTGATGGGGCCAATGTGCCATCAGCTGATTTCAGTGTAAACATATCAGAACTATCACCATTAATAGTATCACGTGTGCACCTGAATATTTCTAGAACACTGAGACATTTTACTTTGACAGTCACTATCAGGAACTGAATTTGCTAGGTATTGAGCTTACATTTCCCAAAGACTGCAGCACGCCTTACCTGATCTACCGCTGCAGACTTTGCTTTACCAATTGGATTTGTAATAGTTCTGCAAACCTGAATTGCATGAGTGACATTTGCATCTGATAAAGTGGCCAATCAGGGTGACTGGTCATCTGTTAAAGTTCTCTTTGTTTCCTTGTTAGCTTAGGGCTCATGTACATTGCAGCTGATAAACTCACGTTTAGGAACTGGTCAGCGTTTTTTTCAGCAGCCCCTGAACTCTCCCTAATGTTTTCCATGTGTCCATGTACACATCGTCGTTTACAGGCAGTTGAGTTTACAGTTGTTTTTTTAACGCAGAAAACATGTGTTCAGCAATAGATTTTATCAGCGTTTCAAACGCCAAATGCTTGTAAACGTGTGTAAATGCGGCTAACCGCGTTTATAAGCGTTTGAAATTTTTTTTTTAACTCTTCCATTTTTAGATGCTGCCCAGAGCCTTTTTTCATCATGAAAAATGCATGCAAAGCGTTTTCCCGGTACTCAAATGGACCTGGTACACCATACTTTGAGGTTTTGCATGAAAGAAAATATGTTAGACATTGCTGCAATAATTTCTGCACAGAAATGAGCTGGAACACATCCAAACACCACAAAAAAAAAAAAAAGACAGCTAATCTGAACAAATACTGCTCTCTGCTTTATTTCTCTCAAAATGTCTGAAATAGTTAATTTTTTTCTGTTTTTCAGTGCATTCTGGGCATTTTGGAAGGCCTCCTGAGCTTATCTTTAAAAAATGCTTCTAAACGCAAACGCTCATAAACGCGGTATGCAAACACGGCTAAACAGACGTTTTTTAACCTACGTTTTCCAGCAGTTTCCATCGTTCAGAAGTGTCCTGTGTACATGGGGCCTTATAGTGCTCCACATATAAAACCCCTCTGCTACATTGTGTACTTCTGCTACTTTGTAAGTGTCCCTGGCTCATGACACTGATATTGTGCTGTCTGCACTGACCTTGGATTGTAACTTCAACACTGATTCTTTGCTTCCCTGCACTGGCCTTGGCTTCTTACCTCAACACTGACTTTCTGCTGCCTGCACTGACCCCAATTTGTGGCTTGTGACCCCAACATTGATCCTTTGCTGCCTGCACTGACCCTAGCTTGTGACCCCAACACTGATTCTGTGCTGCCTGCACTGGCCTTGGCTTGTGACCTCAGCACTAATTCTTTGTGGTCTGCACTGGCCCTGATTTGTGATGTCATGACTGATTCTCTGCTGCCTGGACTGCACTGGCCCTGGCCTGTGACCCCAACACTGATCCTTTGCTGCCTGCACTGACCCTGGCTTGTGACTTCAACACTGACACTCTGATGCCTGCACTGACCCCGATTTGTGACGTTGTGACTGATTCTCTGCTGCCTGGATTGCACTGATCCTGGCTTGTGGCCCCAACACTGATTCTCTTCTGCCTGCACTGACCCTGGCTTGTGGCCCCAACACTGATTCTTTGCTGCCTGCACTGACCCTGGCTTGTAGCCCCAACACAGATTCTTTGTTGCCTGCACTGACCCTGGCTTGTGACCCCAACACTGATTCTCTGCTGCTTGTACTGACCCTGGCTTGTGACCCCAACACTGATTCTCTGCTGCCTGTACTGACCCTGGCTTGTGGCCCCAACACCAATTCTTTGCTGCCTGCACTGACCCTGGCTTGTGACCCCAACACTGATTCTTTGCTGCCTGCACTGACCCTGGCTTGAGGCCCAAACACTGATTCTCTGCTGCCTGTACGGACCCTGATTTGTGATGCCACAACTGATCCTCTACTGCTTGGACCACACTGACCCTGGCTTCTGACCTGGACTACTCAATTTCTCTTGATCTTCTGATGTTCTGGCCGCTAATCTCCACTCCTTGTAGGTAAATTTCTAACAGGTACATCCCTGTGTTGAAAGGCCATTCAGTGTAGACACTGTGCACAATAAATAAGAATGATTTCTGTGATAAAAACCTTGAAACTGGCCTGAAGATGCATATGACTAGTCAAATACAGGTGACTTTGCTAAAAATGCAAATAGTCTGAGCATCTTTAGCAATTACTGGCCTGTGCAAATGATGCAGAGAGATGTATTCTGCATTAAGTATCTGTTATATAGATGCTAAAGAATCCCCTATATATGATATTCCAGGGAAAATGGAAACTATCCTTTTATGTGTAAGCACAAAAACACAGCAGTCTGAGTAATTAAAATGACTGGTACCAGTACAACATAATATTCTGGTGAAGGACCTACCTCTAGATCTGACTACCTGTGTTCAGCCGAGCCCTTATATGAGAACTAGTTTTTCAGGTTTGAGAATAGTGACAGAGAGTTTCTCATGCAATCTTAACGCTCTGCTGGATCCACCAATACTATAAAAGTATTTAAGCCAAAAATGTCATGTTATTTTCTTAACTTCAAAATCACTGGTATGAAAAATATAACTAAGCCAATTAGCAACTCTAATGCCATGCTGGCTTTGAACCTTTGCAGTTTGACCTTCAAATGTAACTGTGAATCCTTGAAATACATTATATAATACTTCAGGCAAAAAGCAACAGTCATTTCCAGAGTTTGGCTTCTCCAGATCCTTTTGTGAGGCCAGTGGTCTGAGTCTGCTAGCTCTTTATGCTGGGCATCCTGTGACGGATTCCTTTGTGTCTCCTCCCTGTTTCTGGAAGAGTAGCTCTTGCTTACAGCAGTGTTGCCTGCTCACGTTTGGCCCTTTGTCAATACCAAGGGTCTGACCGGTGCTGTAGGTTATACCTCTGAAGTTTTACTTGGTCTTTTATCTGGTTAATCAAAACCTGAGAAAGAAGAATTCCAACCAGCTTTGGGAAAGAAATAAAAAAAAGTGTTACTAAGATTTTAACAAATGGAGTCACATAGACTATATAAAATGTCATTGTTTGGTTCACAACATATTGTACCAACATTCGAATAGAAATGCAAAGAATACACAGGTAACCAAAAAACTGTTGGACTTTTCAAATACAGATTCAGAAAAATTAATTTTTTAAATAAAAAGTTCCACAATTTTGGTTACTTGTGTATTCTTTAAAGAATGGATGTTTGTCTTATATTTAGATATCTTTTGGAATAACATAGGAAAATATGACCTATCCCTTATTCATAATCATATCATTGCAAGTACACAAGTCTTCTGGAATAAATGCCATGTCTGGGCAAATCCCAGGCGCAATAAGTAACTGAGTAATATGCCCTAAGTAGGCCTCATGCACACTAAACTTTTTTTTAAACTCTCCTATAAGCCTCTGCCTGACACTTGTAAAAGTGTGCAACACATTTACCTGTGTCAAGCATTTGGGGATGCATTAATTTCATTGGCCAGAATATAGAATTTATTCTGGTCATTGAAATGAATTAATGTTTAAGTGCTAAATGTTCCTTTAGATGCATCAATTGTTTTTTCAGACAAAATGTTGCAACTTCTGGATGCACTGGCAGTGGGTTTTTTCCTACATCTAAACTCTCCTTCCAGTAAACGCCTCTAAAAGTTTATGTGCATGGACATATAGGCAGTGATGTCCCTAGGGGGGTGCGGGCCAAACTGGGTGACACCATCACAGGGGGTGCAGGAGCAAGATGCCAGCAGAGCTTCGGGGCTCTGTGAAGGTCCTGGCCAGTTATTGGCGTGATCCCGGATTCCTGGCACAGTGACAGCTGCCCCCAGTGTAGCAGTAAATGAGTATCTCGGACCCGTGAAGATATGTATCCCCTGAAGCAACTGCGCATGTGCCGGTTTCAGGCCTGTTCAACCTATACAGGGGGTTAACTGATCTTGCAACCCATAGTGATCGGTGGGATCAGCTTCAGAGGTTTGCAGCCTGTAAGGGGTTAACTGTGGCAGGTCTGCGCTAAAGTCGAAGATCGGCTTCTTCGGCCTGAAACTGGCACATGCACATTTTCTTCAGGGGATACATATCTTCACAGGTCAGGATACTCATTTTACCGCTACACGGCACCGCTCCCTCCTCTCTAGAGGGGTGACACCATGTGTTGCCACACCGGGTGTCACCATCCCTAGGGACACCTCTGCATAAAGGCTAACAGGTAGGGGAGTTTAGAGGCAAGAAAAAAAAAAAAGAAGAAAAGCCAGATGCCCCTAGGAGCATCTGTATAAACATCCAACTCTAAACAGTCCTCAGAGTCAACTGGTAATCAGCCTGTGCTTTCAAAACTGTACATGAATAGAATATATAACAGTTACACCAAGGAAAGGGGTACAAGTTAAAACAGAAGCAAAGACTGCTCCATGCCATGCTGGAACAAAGGAAAGCATAACGTGGTTAGCCAGGTCCATTTTCAATGACAGAGTTACAGGATGAAAAATGCAGATAAATCCTAAAACACAGGGCTACATAAAAAAACAGAGGGGTGCACTGCATGATATAGGTTAAGGCAGCCTTTTCTCAACCAGGGTTCCATGGAACCCTACGTTTCCTCCAGAGGTTGCTAAGGGTTTCTTGAGCATTGAGCCATTTCTGCCTCTCAGATAAGCTACCACTGACACCAATGATCCTTTCAGCTATCTGTAAGGGTGGAATTGTTCCGATTGACCACAAATGTAAGGAGCATTCTTCCCTCTAACCATAATTATTATTATTCTACAGGATTTGTATAGCTTCAGTTTGCACAGTGCTTTACAACATGAGGGCAGACAGTACAGTTACAATACAATTCAATACCGGAGGAATCGTTGAAGCTTACAATCCATCAAACCTTATTTATGGTCCTGTTCACATCTATGCAATTTCCTGCAATGCATTTTTTGGAAAGGTACAGGGACTTTTTTGCAATCAGCACGGTGCTAATGTCCTGTGAGCTGTAAATACAGCAATTATTATCAGGGCTCCCTGAGACCTGAAAATTATTTTAAGGATTCCTCCAAGTTTAAAAGGTCGAGAAAGTTCGGATTAGAAGAACAGAGTGTACAGAATTGGACATATGCTATAAAAATAGTGGTATAATGCATTCTCTGCAGCTGAGGCTGTTCTTTATTTATTTAGATTGTAAGCTCCGGGGATCAGGCCCTCCTAACCCTCTTGTATTCAACTGTATTGTTGCTGTATGGTCTCCCGTTATAATGTAAAGCGCTGAGCAAACTGTGCTATGCTGCATTTTTTTCTTAAAGGTGGGAATAGTAGTTTGGATGGGCTGATGATGCACAGCTATTAGGAATTCAGATATTTCTTAAGAATTCTTATTTGATTATTTTTTAAAATCAGATATAAGAATTCTTATTTTAGTTAATGAATACGCATTCCTGCATATGTTTACCATATTCATGATGTTTTATACCATGATGGGTTCATAATGTTAGGCCCTAACATTTGATAAATATTTATAACTTAAACATAATCAAAATATAGCATGTAAATAATAACAGCGTGTTACCTGAGGAATGGCCAGTCCCAGTGCCACCCCGCCCAGCAAGAAAAGATTACTGTGCAGCCAGTTAACCAGTCGGTCAATGCAGCCATTGGTGTGAATGTATTCTCCGGCTTCCAAATAGTCTAAAGCTTGCATGCCACGTCCACACATAGTATTTATGACAGTCTGTAAAATGACAGGTAGGAATTGTTATGGCACATCACAAATGGAGCTCTACAGGACGCAACAAATATGCAAATGTATTTGTGTCAAATTGCCCTGGTATAGCAGTGATCTCTAGCAATCTTGTCTAATATGTCTCTAAGACTCTTAAAACCTGATCCCAGCATTCAGCAATATATATATATATATATATATATATATATATATATATATATATGTGGCAGTGCGGTGTCCTGCCACGGTCAAAATCAAGCTGATAACCCTGGATTCTCAACCAGGCAGGTTGAGGGGCTCCAGAAGATTGATGTAATGCAGAGGAAACTGGCTTTTTGGTTTTCTCATTTATTCATAGAGTCTGTTTTGGGATCTGGAGTCTGGAGATTTCAAAGAGATCTGGGAGGGATGAAATCTCCAATCCTGGGACCAGGTTTTGGTAATGGCCAGGACACTGATTGTACAGGTGGGTGCAGGGCTTTTGTAGAGGCCTAACCCATGGTTCTGTGCTCCACCCCGGCAGACAGGAGTCAGGAGGGCTCCACCCCGGCAGACAGGAGTCAGGAGGGCTCCACCCCGGCAGACAGGAGTCAGGAGGGCTCCACCCCGGCAGACAGGAGTCAGGAGGGCTCCACCCCGGCAGACAGGAGTCAGGAGGGCTCCAACCCGGAAGACAGGAGTCAGGAGGGCTCCACCCGGAAGACAGGAGTCAGGAGGGCTCCACCCAGAAGACAGGAGGGCTCTACCCCGGCAGATGGGAGGTCTCTGCCTTGGAGTCAGGTGGGCTTCACCAAGGAGAGGTGGAAGCCAGACTAGCTTTGTGCTAGTGGCCAGCTGTGTGTGAGAGCCATAATTTGGGAAGAGTCTGCAGGAGACAGACATCAAAACTGCGTACAAGCCAGGAGGCTGAATCTTTGTTGTTTTTTGCTTGATGGTGGATACCGCTGCGTGGGAAGCATTTTTGTTGAACTTTATCTTTAAATAAAATTAAGCAAAAAGGCCCTTAAAAAGAAGCGAGTTGCTGTGTGCTTTTGAAAGGAAATGCTCTACCACTGGAAGCGAGTTCCCACAATATATATATATATATATATATATACAAATATACACACATATACTATATCACGTTCAATCTTTAACAGTCTCCTGCAGCATGTTCACAGTCTCTGACCATCTCTTGCATCATGTCCATAGTCTCAAGCTTTCACTTTTATTATGTTAACAGCCTCTAACCACCTCTTGTATCATGTCAGCAGCCTCTACCCATCTCTTGTATCATGCCTGCAGTCTCTAACCATCTCTTGTATCATGCCTGCAGTCTCTAACCATCTCTTGTATCATGCCTGCAGTCTCTGACCATCTCTTGTATCATGCCTGCAGTCTCTGACCATCTCTTGTATCATGCCTGCAGTCTCTGACCATCTCTTGTATCATGCCTGCAGTCTCTGACCATCTCTTGCATCATGCCTGCAGTGTCTGACCATCTCTTGTCACAGTGTCTGATCATCTCTTGTATCATGCCCATAGTCTTCAACTATATCCTTCTGTGTGTCTGCTGTCTCTGTCACTGAATATTCACTTAGAACCTTTGGTGATTTTGGGATCCACTCGTGAGCCACCCCTTATCAAGAAAGTTGACCATCACTGAGGTAAAGCATCTTTTTCTGATTTTTCTTCTTACTGGGACTTGTCATACATGACTTAAAGGATAAGTTCACCTTTGGGAACATGTTACATGTTCCCCCCCCCGTTTTTAGTAACATGTTCCCATAGTTGCAACAGATAATATGGGGAGAAGTTCTGTCAGATTTAAAAACAGTGTGGTCATGCAGGGCTCCGCTCACACGGCCGCGTCACTCATTCTCGGACTTCCATTAATGAATGAACTGTAAGTTCCGACAGCCTTAGTGGCTGTAGACTTGTAGTTTCAATGAGCTACCACGGTGCTGTGGAGCGACATTGTAGTTCATTGAAGTTTCCTGTCAGAATATCTGCTTGCTTGTACATCCTGTATGCCTAAAAATATATTCTGACATTTCTGCAGGAGACCTACATGGCACCAGCGATCTACTGACCGCTGGTGCAATGCTTTCCAGGCTCCTTTGGACAAAAATAATAAACGCACAATTTTTCACCTGCAAAAAAAGTGTATTTTTTTTGTCCAAAAGGTGAATTTATCCACTAAAGCAATGTTCCCCGGTGTTTTTTTTTCCACTGGGCTTGCTAGGTCCTGATGATTCCCTCAACTGTTGCAACCTTCACCCCAGAGCTACAACTACTGCCAGCTTCAATTGTATACACACTATAAAATGTCTAGAGGAGCTGTGTAAATTGATCAATTAGTGCAGCAGAAGTAAAGCCCTGTTCACACTGGCATTAAAAGCAGGAGTTTAGGGCACTTTAACGTTCCTCATACTCCTAGAAAAGCAGTCTGCAATTGATAATATGGACAGCTCACAGTGCTGTTCACATTATCAAGACATTATCAAGACATGAAGAATTTGCACTTCAAAAAAATGAAGCTTCATGTAGAAGAATCTCAACTCCCTCCATTTGAGTCTACGGTAATGCACCACAAAAGCACCGCCAGATGCATGTTTTTGGCGAGCTAGGCTTTGTTCACAATAGCTAAAAAAAAAAAAAAAAGAAAAAAAGGCGCTTGGGGAATGTTTTTTTTTAACATGTCTTAAATGCATGTCAAACTCAATGAACAACTTGCATTAGCACTATAGGCGCAATTGTGAAGTGTCAGCATTATGAGCAAGTGTGAACAAGGCCTTCACACCGGGATCAGCTGGGCCTCTTGTTGGCTGAAGACTTGCACCAACATGAAGCAGAAGGTATATGCTCTTGCCATAATCTGCTAATCTCTGAAAGGTCTCCTGGCATAAATAGTCAGTAATCAGGTATATTTCTATAAATAAATAGGTGTGCCCCAGCAGTTTAGTCTGCTCTAATTTGAGGATCATTGGGTTAACTTAATTCTTGTATCCATCCTGCTTGCACACCAAAATGTACCTCATCTTCCTCCAGCAGGCAGCAGGAATATGGCACTGCGCAACGTTCTCTGCTTTGGTTTTCTGATGAACAGTTGAAGTATATGTTCTGAGACCAGTCCTTGTAGGAGATGCCCCCACAGCAATTAAACTTGTATGAAAAAAAGAAGAAAAAAAAACACAGTAAACACAGAAAAATATATTAACCTCCCTAGCGGTATGATTATTTCAGATTTTTGGTGCTGAAAGCGGTACCATTATTTTGCATGGAAATATGTAGCTTTTTTTATTGTAGGCTGTAATTTTTAGGAATAACTCACTGAAATCTGTCCGAACAAGAGTCTATTAAACATCCTGGGTATGATAAAATTTGAAAAAATGAAATCATAAATTATAATTTAATAAATAATCATAAAAAATAATAATATAATAATAATAAATTTAATTCAATAATATAATCAAACCAAAAACACTGAAATTTGAAATATAGCGCCATGTTCGCACATCACTGAGCAAAGTCGCAAAATAGTTTTCAGTGTCTGATGACGAATTTCCCCATGAATCATTATCACTCAATTCTGCAAGTGGTTCTGATTTACTATCGCTGTTCTCTAGCTGGTCTAAACCTGCTTTTGACATAAAGGGACGCTGTTTGGACGCCATGGACTTTTCTCAGTTTCCAGGCAGAAAGAACAGGCAAAATGCAGGCAGGGCACAGGACAAAGCACTAGGGACAATATGTATGTGAAATGGGTTGAAACAGCAATGTTTTACTATGTAAAATTTGTTTGGAAAAAAATGCAATTTTTTAAAAATTTTCAAATTTCCCGCCGCCGGCGCCCGTACGTCCCGACGTCACTGGGATCGGAACACAGAAGCCGGATGCCGGCATCGGCTGGAGGAGATGGGACGCTGCAGGGGACACATCGCGGGAGCTAAGGACAAGGTAAGCTCTGCAGGGAATCCCTATGCAGCGCCGCATGGTAAGCCCGAGTGTAGCTCGGGGTTACCGCTTTTGGTACTGACATTTTACCCCGAGCTACACTCGGGAATACCGCCAGGGAGGTTAAGGCAGGGGTGTCAAACTGGCGGCCTTCCAGCTGTACAAGTTCCATCATGCCTCTGCCTTTGGGAGTCATGCTTGTAACTGTCAATCTTGCAATGCCTCATGGGACTTGTAGTTTAGCAACAACTGGAGGGCCGCCAGTTTGACACCCGTGTATTAAGGTGAGGTGAAGGCATCCATAAAACTAAAGGGTCATTGTGGGTAATAATACCATAATACATACCATAAAGTAACTAAAAAAAAGGTATATATAAACACTTTGTGCATGGCTGAGCTCAATGACTAAAAGAGCTTAAATTCAATGAATGAAAGAGGCAGGATAGGAACAGAAAGGTTGAGGTGAAAGTGTGATTAAGAATCACAGGCTAAATCATGGCGATTCGGCCCACGATTCAAAATCGCCAAGTGTGAATAATGCCTTACAGTTCACTCCAAACTGATGAGCTGTAAAGAATTTTAATGTGGCGACAATTGACAATTTTAGGTATTGTAAGTGTTTACTTTTATGTGGGTGCACACAATTTTTAAGGCTTTATATATTATTATTATTATACAGTATTTATATAGCGCCAACAGTTTGCTCAGCACTGTACATTATAATGGGAGACAGTACACGAGACAGCACAGTAACAATACAATACACGAGGGGTTCAAGGGCCCTGCTCCTTGGAGCTTACAATCTAGGAGGGAGGGGATAGTGGTACAGGAGGAAAAGTTGTGGGGGATGGAGTGGTGGGAAAAGCGGAGGAGATGGGCAATTAGGTGAGGGCGGTGTAGGCTGCCCTGAAGAGATGGGTTTTCAGGGTGCGCCTAAAGGTGAGGAGGGTAGGTGACAGTCTGATGGATTGGGGTAGTGAGTTCCAGAGGATGGGGGAAACCCATATAGTATTTGATGGTTTTTTTTAGCTGGACACAGTCTCATATTTTATATTTAACTGAAATATTTAGATTATATTGAGTTTGTTTGATCTAACATTAATTGAGGTTACTTTTTACTGAAAATATTGATTTAATAGGCATTTGCAACTATAGTCATTCTATTGTACAGGTATTTTGCTTTCAGAAAGTTTTGGGAGTCTTTCAAGCACAAAATGCACATTTTAACGTGTGTGTGAAAAATAAAAACATTTGCTCTGGCAGCAAAAGGGTAAATAGTGTTCACCAGTTGTGCAAAATTACACTATACTTACAGCATTAGACACTGAAATCTTTCTTCTTCCAATACCGCAAGTCACAGTAATTTCTAATATAGTAATTGGAAATATGCGAGGTGGTATCAAAAAGTTTGAGACTTGTTTAGCAACACGCCAACAGATGGCAGCACAAAACTGCATGCACAGTCACAGGGAGCACCAACCTTCAGTCAGCATGCCAAAAGACATCACCGTGTATACATCGGGAGTTGTGTAGCTGGTGCTATTCTGACCATGTGCGTTACCATGTCTGTTAGTTCATAATGAACAGCAAGTTAGAACAAAGAGCAAATGTGAAATTCTGTGTGAAACTGGGAAAATCTGCCACAGAGACGTTTGATTGGGCAAGTTTACGGCGATGCTAAAATGAGTTGTTTGAGGTGCTTTGAGTGGCATACATGCTTCAAGAGCGGAAGAACATCACTGGAAGACGACGAGAGATCAGGAAGACGTTCAACAAGGTCAACCACCGAAAATGCCCTCTTCCTGAAGATGAAGATCCAACTCAAAGGTCGCCATTTTAACAACTGGATTTGCCCAGTTTCATGCAGAATTTCACATTTGCTCTTTGTCCTAACTTGCTGTTCATGATGAAATAGCAGACATGGTAGTGCACATGGTCAGAAAACACCATTTGTACAGCTCTTGATGTACACAGGACGATGTCTTTTGGCACACTGACTGAAGGTTGGTGCTCCCTGTAACTGTGCATGCAGCCTTGTGCTGCCATCTGCTGGCGTGTTACAAAAACTTGCGTGTCTCGAAACTTTCTGATACCACCTCATATATTTTTGAATAACAGCTGCAATCTAATATATATGTTTTATATATCAAAACTTACCTCTTTTTGGCCAAAGTCTATGAGATTCTGCAAGTCCAGATCATCCCTGTAGTGTACAATAGCATTGCCAATCACTTCACTGACTTTTCCCCGAGCCTGCAACACAACACATACTGGTCAAAATCCAGCCACATGTACCTAATGGATACCTAATGTCCCTTCCATTCACAAGCATATTGCTAATGTCCCAGTATATTATCTAATAGACCCAGGACACGTGCATTGTGACACTTCCAGTAGCACAAGATTATATTATATTATATACTGTTTAGCTATAGTACATTATCTGTAAAATATTTCATGGTATGGCAATCAATACACAGAAGCATTAGAAAACATATTTTGTGACTATATGGTATAAATATGAAATAAAATATTCTTTTGCTAACTATGGATTGTATTTAGATTTTTTTCTGTAAAAAGCAGAGACTTGTTCAATGTATAAATCGTGTAAATCTGCACCCTGCTTTTAAATAGAATAGCATGGGGGGCGCGGGGGTCAGTCTTGTTACAGTAAGAAGAAAGCCATCAAACTGGCTGCTTTGGGAACCTGAGCATTTGCAAAGAAAGCTAGTCAGGGTTGCGCTCACTCCTGTTCTATGAGGGGACAAGAGGAGTGGAGTTAGAGATATTACTGATAGGAAAATGCTAGTTGCCTGGTTGTTCAGTACTTACTGAGTTTCTGATCAGGAACAATCATGCAGCCAGTGGAGTGAGGCCTCCTGATCAGCTTTGCAATTAATATTATTATTATACAGGATTTATATAGCGCCAGCAGTTTACGCAGAGCTTTACAATATAAAGAGAGACAGTACAGCTGCAATACACAATCAAAACAAGAGGATTAAGAGGGCCCTACTCATAAGAGCTTACAATCTAATAGGGTGGGGCAAGTAGTACAAAAGGTTACAACTGTGGGGGACGAGCTGATGGAAGTGATAAATGTCTATCCAGAGGCATGATAGGCTTCCCTAAAGAGATGGGTTTGCAGGGATCGCCTAAAGGCAACCAGAGTAGGAGATAGCTGGACAGATTGAGGTAGAAAGCTAGGAAACCAGATGGTCAGTTTGACAACCAGGCAACCGTTTCCTTTAAGGCTTCATTCGCATGGGCACTGTGGCTCACACAACATGAATGGTCCATCTGTTTATGCACCCAGAGCCAACAGTTGCTCCCTGCAGGCTGCCCATGTAAAGCTGGCCATACATGGGTCCAATTTTAAACAATGTTTCACCCAAAAATCATAATTTTTAATTATCTTTCAAATTTCGACCATTAACAAGGTTGCAGCAATGGCCAATTTTGTGCGGGCATCCAATTTGAGTGATCAGGCATGTTGGAAATTTTTTTAAAAATGAAGAAATTTCTAATCAATGATGGGAGAATTGTGGCGGGAAATATAATTGAAAAAGAAATGTGCATGAGCTGTGACCTGGAAAGAATAGAAGATTCCCGGCCACAACATTTATTTTCCGTAACAACATGAAGTAAAATGGAAGGCTCGGTTGGCCGATTTTCAAAATCATTGGTTCCACCATTGGAATACAGTATGAACGACATTTTAGAATTTTGACCAACAAATCATTCAGCATTCGACCCATTTATGGCATGCATAGGTCTAAGGGGACACAGCTGATCATCCTACTTTGACAAGTGTGCTGGTGAGGGGCCCTGAATGCACACAGTCTGTATTTGGGGCCACTCACCTGCAAGACTGTCAAATTAGAACAAGCAGCTGTATCAGTGCAGCTACGCTGTGAATGGATACAAGAGCAGCGGGTGACCACATAGCAAGCTGCTTGCTCTGGGGGCACCCAACAGGAAGGCGAGGCCAGGAGGGCCAGTGAGGTATCTGAGAAGAGGAGGATCCATGCTGCTCTGTGCACAACCTCTGCACACAGCAGGTAAGTATGATATGTTTGTTATTTTTAAACAAAAAAATGTAAGCCTTTTATATCACTTTAAGGCTGCTGCTTCCAATCTGACATCTGTGTGGGTGCACACTGGAGAGTGTTCCTGAACCCAGACAGTATAAGTTTGGGGAAACAGGTCAAATTGGAAACAACGGCTGTGTCCGTACAGCTACTGCATCCTAACTGACATGAAGGGAACTGCCTGAAAGCAGATGCACATAATACCTGCAGGCAAACGCCACCCTTCGCAAGGATGAACGGCTATGTACGTGTTTGTGAATGAGGCCTTAGTTACAGTTACGCCCAAATATATTGACACCCCTGCATTTCCTTCAGATAATGCATCGCTTCACCCAGAAAACTGTTGCAATCACAAATGTTTAGACATTCTCGTGTTTACTGGACAAAATTATTGGTACCCTAATTTTAATATTTGGTAGCGCACCCTTGAAAAAAAAAACTGAAATCAATTGCTTCCTGTAACCATCAATGAGTTTATTACACGTCTCTACTAGAATTTTGGACCACTCTTCTTTCGCCAACTGCTCCAGGTTTCTGACATTGGAAGGGTTCCTTCTCCCAACTGCTGTTTTGAGATCTTTCCACAGGTGCTCTATGGGATTGAGATCTGGACTCATTGCTGGCCAGTTCAGTGCTCTCCAGTGTTTTGTATGAAATTATTTCTGGGTGCTTTTTGACTTGTACTTTGGGTCATTGTCCTTCTGTAAGACCCATGACCTCTGACACAGACTCAACGTTCTGACACTGGGCCCTACATTACACCCTAGCATTCTTTGGTAGTCTTCAGATTTCATAAATGCCATGCATATGGTCAAGACATCCAGTGCCTGAAGCAGTAAAGCAACCCCAAAAAAGTCAGTGAACCTCCACTATGTTTGACTGTAGGGACTGTATTCTTTTCTTTAAAAGGTCTCATTTTTTTTTTCTGAAAACAGTAGAATGATGGGCTTTACCAAAAAGCTGTAATTTTGCTTCGTCTGTCCACAGCACATTCTCCCACAAGGATTTTGGCTTCCTCAGGTAAGATTTGGCAAACTCCAATCTGTCTTTTTTATGTTTCTGTGTCAGCAGTGGGGTCCTCCTGGGCCTCCTACCCTAGTGTCCCTTTTCATTCAGATGGTGACGTATAGTGCAAGCTGACACAGTTGTACCCAGTGCCTGAAGGTCAGCTTGAACTTGTCTGGAAGTTGATCTAGGTTCTTTATCCACCATTCTAACAATCCTATGTTGCAATCTTTGATCAAGTTTTTCTCTTTCGTCCATGTTCAGGGAGATTAACTGCAGTGCCATGGGCTGTAAACTTCTTGACAATGTTGCACACAGTGGACACAGGAACATTAAGATCTGCTAATTGGTACAAGTAAGTTTATTACAAATTACAGGAGCATTACAAACTTGGAATGCAATTATTTCTTAAATTTTTTAGCAGTTTCCAGTAATTCAGTCCAGTTCATTTTTGAGATTTTGAGTGGAATGTGTCAGATTTGACTTTTTGTTTCTCCACTTTTTTGTGTCATACCAATTCAAACAAAAGAAATAAACATGAGAATGCCTAAACATTTGTAATTGCGACAATTCTCTGGGCGAAGTGGTGCATTATCTGACAAATGCAGTGGTGTATATTTGTGTCCACGACTGTATGTATACCAAACAAGAGACATTTCCAGTCCAGCTTTCAGCCCAGTCACATTCAGCACAACATTTATATGTTCCTCTTTAGAGGACTTCTTCATATAACTGCAAGGAAGCAATACAAAGATAAAGTGTAAGTTTAGGAATCATCCTGCTGTGGACTGCCTTTCCTATGACTAGAGTTAGTACGTAGAAAAAAGGATAGTGTAATCTTGGATTGTGATTATTTAAGGTTTTTACAGAGGTTTACCAGCCTGTGTGACGCTTAATACTACTTTTTTTGTAAAGTGAGATGGCTCTTCATATCTGTAAAATTTAATTTTCCATTTTTTCTGTAACCCTAGTGTGTAGCTAAACACTTTTTGGTGGTGACACCGTTGCTTTGCCGTATCACATCCTTTAGTAAAAAACCAGATACGTCTGACTTCCCGGAAGTATTGTAGTATTGTAGAACATAAACTGCCCCTTTAATTATCTAGATGCATCTTTCATACTGTACATCTGTTTTTGTCAGCAATATACAAGTCTATCCACAGCTGTGTTTAAAGGATTCGTAAGCAACAAACTGAGTGGGTTCTTCTGTGTTTAGTGTTACATATTGAAAATCTTTAACCACTTCAATAATGAGCATTTGTACCCCCTTCCTGCCCAGACCAATTTTCAGCATTTAGTGCTCACACACTTTGAATGACACTCAGTCATGCTACACTGTACCTCAACAAAACTTTATCATTTTTTTCACAGAGATAGAGCTTTATTTTAGTGGTACTTAATCACCACTGGGTTTTTTATTTTTTTGCGAAATAAGCAAACAAAGTGTGAAAATTAAAAAAAAAACAAAAAAACACACTTTTCTCATTTCTATAAAGAAATTTTGCAAATTAGCTAATTTTCTTCATAAATTTAGGACAAAATTTTTGCTGCTACATGTCTTTGGTAAAAATAACCCAAATCAGGGTATATTATTTAGTCTGTGAAAGTTATAGAGTCCACAAGCTATGGTAGCAATCATTGAAAAGTGATCACACCTGATGTAGTGACGGTCTATCTCATTTCTTGAGGCCCTAACATGCCAGGAAAGTAAAAAATACCCCCCAAATGACCCCTTTTTGGAAAGTAGACAGTCCAAGCTATTTAGTAATAGGTATGGTGAATTTTTTTAAGTTGTCATTTTTTTCCCATAAATTCTCGGGAAAATGAAGAAACTATTTTTATTTATTTACACAAAATTGTCATATTAACACGTTATTTCTCACACACGGCATATGCATACTTGTAATTACACCCCAAAACACATTCTGCTACTCCTCCTGAGTTTGGCGATACTACATGTGTGAGACATTTTACACAGCCCGGCCACATACAGAGGCCCAACATCCAAGTAGCACCATCAGGTGTTCTAGGGGCATAAATTACACTTTTAATTTTCTGACTACCTATCACATTTTTGAAGGACCTGGACCACCAGGACAATGGAAGTACCCACAAAATGACTTCATTTTGGAAAGTTTTTGAAAAATGTGGAAAGAA